GTTCGGAGACCCCGGCCACACCTATAAACCATACGACTTCGATTTCGGAGTCCCCGGCAGGTAGTGGTTAAAAGCACCCAGCAGCATGTGGTTAAGCAACAATCAAACAATGATGAGACAAGCTTTCCAAGAAATGCACCACTGCTTTGGAATTTGTGTTGATAGGGAAGATAGACATGTAAAAGGTATTACTAAATGAGACGGCAAATCATAATCCTGTATGAAATACAACTAATCCCGGGAATGTTTTTGTTAAATTTAGCGTTCCAATGTCAGAATGTGAAGAACAGCTGAGACAGGCATCAGTCCAATTTGGAAACGGATGTCTTGAACCTATTGATTTGCAATACAATAGTGCTCACCTATCCGTGATTGCACAGATGCAAATACCAAGTAGGGCTTCAATGGAAAGGTTATGAACTATCCTTTCAGATACAATCATACTTAGAGTGTTTAGTGTCAGAGTTTTAACGTACCAAATTATATGTGGATTACATTTTTCATACACCCTGTATTAGTAGGTGATGTGTCGCAAACCTCACATTTCAGTGGGTTAAACAGATCTGTACATATAGAAGATCTGACGTATCTGTGGAGGCAATACCTTGACTTAACAGTGTTTGGGGAAGAAAAGTGCCCTGTACAAATGATCCTAAGTATTGTAATTGGAGTGTCCCACCATTAATGAAAAGTGACCATCGCATTTTTAAAAAGTCTGGATTTCCTATCAAAACTGTCAATGCAAGGGTTTGTTAATTGTGAAAACAAATGGTCATTGTGTTTTAACCAGTGTGACGTCACAATAAGATTTTGTCTTATATCATAATACATAATAACTTGTCACTATTGCTGCAGTGAGGTTACCTTGTACCTGATCCACTATGCCATTGCCATCCACATCTGCATAAGTTACTGCATCCTGATATGTGAGTTTTAGCCTGGTTAATGGTCTGCCTGTTGCAAGATCTAGCACTTCAATGCCCTGAAGAGATCAAAAAGAGGAAACAAAAAGAAATGCCTGAAAAAAACAACTTACACCACAGTGGTGCAGCCCAACCATGGAACTTGATGTCAACAAGTTAATTGTCACTTGTGCATAATGTCCCTTGGAGTCAACAAAATTACTCAGTATCTAAAGGATTTGCCTGAATTTAGCATATGGGACATATTTTCCCATTCACTCAAATGCGATGCCATGCACCTTTAAATTATAGTAACTGCCTATGTGTGTTTCTCTTGATACCGGTAAATGCTTGCACGTGCTTCTAATGTCAATTTCAATACTGTTTGTGCACTACTATCGATGAGTCCATGTTTTAAGAGTCCCAAATAGATACTTACACTGGCTGACTGCATTCTATATCATATAAAGCAGTATGTGCCATGTGCTCAATCTCCATAGGCAGGGATTGTTAAAGACTAGTTTCAAAGAAACATCTACCATAACATGACTGGTGGAAGTTTTGTAAAAATGAACTACAACTGTTGAAAAAATCATTGGAAATTTATGTTTTTAAATTGTTTCGACTTTCTGACCCAAAAAGTATTAATGAATGGGAGTAAATAATTTATGTGCTTGCTCTTAATAAATGTTTTAAGACCAGCTCAGAATAATGTCCCATGCCTTCAGCTTACACCATTAATCAGCATTCATTCTCCTGTGCCGAGCATTTAACACCAGAGAAGCACTTATTCATTCTCATTGCACAGCACCTCGGGCTTAGTCAGTTAGGCCCTGAGTTCAGGGTCACATACTGATAAAAGATTGGAAAGTGATTTAGAACTAAATATTTACAAAACCAGATATAACTCATGACTGGAAAGCCATTCATATAAACTCTTAACTTGACAAAGCTGAATACCTGTACTGATCATTTCCAGAAGGTTGGAAAAAACCCAGAGAAAATAGCCTTTATGGAAATTGAATGCAGTGAGAAATGATTGACTTGGTACCCCAATGATGTTTATCTTGTGATTTCCAAAAATATAAATGTCAAAGCCCTAATCACTTTTCTGTCAATCATACATGTAAGTGAATACTTAGTGTAACTTGGATAACCTTTTATGAGAGTAAAAAATACTTTAAACATTGAAGTACCTCATGCATATGTACAACGATGGCATTGGGATTCTTGACATGCTCTGTGGCACTGTGTGGTCTTAAACCACCAAAATGATAGCCAGCCATATGATCTCCATCTAACCCCATCACTGGAATAAGGAGAGAAAATGTAGATGGACTTCAACAGAAGACATGGTCAGGGTTACCTAACATAACAGGCCTTAGCTATTCAGCAGTAGGATACCAAAGAGTAGCATCATTCTGACCAGGAAATTAGGTGTAGATGAAGTACGAGCGCATGTTGGCTCACACGCTGCTTCTAACACTGCCTTTTACACACACACGTGTAAGTGTTGGTGTGACGCATTCAATTTGGAATCCTTGTTGCTGGGCAAATTGGTCTCTTGGTCCAGCTCTGGTCTCATTAGGATTAAATGTTTAATAGTCTAATTGCTTAGTCTTGATATCTGGCTGATCTAACAACAGAGTCAGTGAATATGCTTAGATTTGATCTTCAAACCTGTTTTGGGTACACCGTTTGTCAACTCACAAGCAGCAAGTGTTGGCGTAATTTCTTGCTTATCTTGCTCTGAAATGTGTGCTGTATCCTTCGCGACACGTGCTATGGTTACAGTCGTATCACTTCCTCTTTGCCAATGATGGGGCTAGAATTAAACAAAAAACAAAAGATAACATTGACTGAAGAACTGCGTAAACATCCTTCAAATATAGAACAAAAATTTGTCCTTGTTGCTCATCTTAGATCACTGTTTTTCAACGGGCATAATAAAATCGATGTCTATTCGTGTTTAGCTGTAAGACTGTCCTCTACATGGAAGTTACACATGTACACTACTGCCCAGACAATATGTCCCCACCTGAATGCCCCTTGCCAACTGTATGTGAGCATAGGCCCGATGTTTAATGCCCTAATCCACCTTGCCTGGAAAAAATTGCCAATCAGGGATTGCGTAAACTGCAACCTGTCACCTATCTAAGGGCAAGGGAACACCCTGCATGACATATGAAGCCCAAATGAGGGCATCAGCCAAATTGAGCACATCAAGTTCCACCATCAAGCAAAACCTTGAACACTCAAAATGGTCATGAGGGAAGCTGAACACACACCGTCAGATGTTGCACAAAGGGCTTGAATATCATTCATTATCCCAGGGTTGCCACAGAGAAGAGAACACAGACTATATTTTACATCTTTGTTAAAATCATCAACTGAATGTCAGGTTGATATTAACATACATGTATGTAAGAGTGTACACAGGCAAGGGTTAGTGTACAACATTCACACATAATGAACCCAGCATACATACAGTACAGTGGGTATACACAATGCACTGTATGCAGCATATGGAGTTTATAATGCAGCAGCTGAGAATATTAGGAGGCTGAGATGTCATTGTAGTGCAAATAATCCAGGCATAATCCAAGTCATGCTCTAGACCTTGTCTAATCAGATACATGTATGTGTCTGTGCATGCGAATGGACTCATCTCAGTATTAATGTACATGTATAGCTGGTTTAAATGTTGTATAGGACTGAAGGCCATAAATGTGATTAATGTTGTTGTTGAGAACTATTAAATAAAAGAGACATTTTAATTATGTCCGATTTTGTTTTAAGTTTATCAGAGGAAAATTTGAGAAATGGCCGGCCATGGTCAGACAAGTGGCAGATCAGGGAGGGCTTCACTATGGTTCCAGTTCGACATGCTCTCCAGTTCCTATATGTTACTTACCTTACGAATATATGTAGCCTATTTCACATGATTTTGATCATGATTTTTGAACAAAGATTATCAAAACAGCTGGAAATAATACACCATCACTAGAAAGTCTTATTTCTCAGCTTTTCAGTCAATTTTTTGTGCCTTGCATGGCAACAGACATTTGGCACAATCATGGAATTTTAAACATGGGCAGCTCCATAAGCATATGATAGTGCAGTTCATGTAAAGTGTTTTCTTTGTTTTTGTGTAATCATTTCCAGTTTTTGTCATTAGTTTTTCCTCATTTTGTCTGTAACTTCAGACAAAACAATTTAAATTAGACTCTTTCCACAAAAGGTTTCTCTCACCCTTACTGTGAGTGTAGTGGATATGAAGTGGCAAACTTGCCAAACACCCTGAAGTATGACAGAAAACAGCGCCTTAGCTTTACCTTAGTGCTGGTATCTTTTTCTTTTTTAAGAGCCTTTCTAAATATTTAGGAAAGCATATCAGAATATTCCAAAAGAATGTTTAAAAAATGAGAAATGCTTAAAGGCCATGGGAAGTTTCAAACTATTTTTTTTTTTAGTTTTGCTATCAGATAAAGTACATGTACATGTACGTGTGTGTACATTGTATGCAAGTATAACTTTCATCTGTTTTGTAATTTTGTGTCAAGGTTTTTTGGAGGGTAACAATGATAAAACCGAGGTGCAACCCTGCAAAAGAAGGGGAGCCTTTAGGCTCAAAATCTGAAGCTGCAGCTTTAGCTGCCAGGAAGTGCTTGCAGAAAATGAAAAAAATTCAACTCCTCAAACTATCGTCAATTTCAAGCTGGAGAAACCCAGAAAAGTTGTTGAGTGTCCGTCCATGTTACAAACAGAAATTTCTTGACACATTTGCTCTCTTATAACACAAGAAATACTTCAATAATTATCTTTAAATTCAACTGACATATCCTCCGATTGTTGAAGATTTCACATACCAAAAAGAATTGGGAACAAAATAAATTAATTTCTAGGGGTGTTTGTCACACCAATTACACCCATGTGCAGACCCATATGCACACCACACTTAACTTCTTGGAGCATACAAAAGTACACCATACATGTTCCAATGTCATTGCATGACCTGAGGAGAGTATTTCAATGTTCTTGCTCCAGACTGTTGCATGCTTCAAGGTTTTCCAAATACTCTGCTCCATCTCCTAAGACACTGCCTGATTCAGCCATTGTAAATGTAGGCTTTAAGTGCATTTGATGGAATTAGTCGACGAACATTTTATTTTCTCATTAAGATGCAGGATACAAAATCCACCCAGACCACCGTTTACTGGCTTAAAAAATAATGCCAAAGAATGTTGGGTTCAGTGTCTACAGGAACCAGGGTCAGCCAGCAAGTGTTCGAAAGTACAAAAACAAACTATTCTTTATTAAAGGTCTTGTTGACTGGCAAATGTTAATGAAGTAATTGACTGCAAGGACTGCAGAACAAGAGTTCAGATTTTATATTGTGAGAAAATGTGACTGACATGAAGCTCTCTGTGAATGTCTTGTTCTAATTTTCTGAACCCTGCCCCTGAGCAGTTTGAAACAGCCCCTGCAGGCAGTCATGTGTAAGTAGGGGTTTTTTACCTGGATTACAACCTATTGAAAAAAATCGAATTTGAAAACAATGATAAAAATCGTTGCCAAAAGTTCTTGATTGCAACAAGGTGAAGAAAAGCACAATCTCTGAAGAGAGATCAAACTTACCTCAATACACTTTTAAACATGCAATTCTAGGTCATGCATAGCCCCCAAATAGCATAAGTGATCAGGCTACTCGGGTACGTATCCATCCCACGCTAAAGTGCACTCCCAATCAGCAAAAGAAAGACAGGTGGTTACAAGCAGGTTCTTGCACGCATGCTGCACGGCCGCAAAGACCATACATGCCGGAATAAATTAGTTACACGTACTAAGCGTACTCCACGTCAAATGCGCATGTGGCGAGTCCCAAAAAACACACACACTTTTTTGTTCCATTCGGAGCGGATACACGTATCTAGACATGTATACAAACGTACTGCCCTCATAGTGATTGCTCTACTGTTCATCTGAAATAAATAACATTCTTATAGGCAGAAGGAATAGAAAACAGCAGCACTATCTTTATAATGCAATGCCAAATATCAACCAAACTGTAGACATGAGAGTATCTTTGGGAAACGACTTTGAAAAAGATGTTTTTATATTTGACTTTTTGTAAGACTCCAAATCTCATACACATGTAAAGCCATACACTAGCAGTCAGCAAACTGGCATTTCTTGCTGTGAAGTGTGGAGTAATTTTAGCACAGTGCACATGCATGTAGTACAGGCAGTGCTGAGTGTGAAGAATTCTTTTTTTCTTTCAGCTTAATATCAATCAATGTATTTTTATAACTTTATCAACAGAAAATTTGACATTTTGTTGGAGCATTAAATTTGTGCCCACACACCATGTCCAAGTACTGGCACGCCAATCCCTCCAAAGACATTCAGATTTTTTATTTTACTCCACATATCCTGGAGACAAAAGTCTGTATTACATCTACACGCAAGTAATGAATACAAGTGATCTAAATGAGTTTCTCCATATATGTAAATGTGCAACCTACAATGTACATTAATTCTAGTACTTCAAGTAATGAATACAAGTGATCTAAATGAGTTTCTCCATATATGTAAATGTGCAACCTACAATGTACATTAATTCTAGTACTTCATGTACTGTGGCTATTGAGTACAACTGTCCCAATCTACATTCATGTATACTGTGGCTATGGGCATCATGCGGGCATTGTGACTGTGAGTCCTGCTTATGGTTAACTTTGATCACATTATGCTGGCATCAGGACCCAATTTCATGGGGCTGCTTACCGCATGCGAAAAATTGGCGGTCGCGGTAGCAGAAAATTCTTTGCTTTCGTGCTCCTATTTCACAGCCCAATAAATTCTTGCTACAGTGAGCAGGAAAATTTTTCAGCAGACGATTGCAAAACACGTATGCGCATTGACAAACATTTCTTTGCCATTTGCTGCATGGATTAATAGAGGCTAAAAGCATAAAACCGATTGAAAAATGTTCCTCGTTTACTAGTGCAATGGACATTGCTCTCTCAAACTCTTGCTTTGAAGAGCAACAAACTATTGAGGCCCCTTTAATTTGAACCAAATTAACAAAGAAGGATTATTGTTTCAGGTTTAAATCTGTATCTGGCCTAAATCTGTTATGACAAAGCGGATTTTGCCGGTCACAAATTATGCGTGGTCTTCTTTCTTGAAAACAGCAAGGGCAGCAGTGACCGATCGCCATTTTTCTCCTTTGTAAGCATCAAGTGAGTGTCAGAATTTCTGTGCTGGCCTTTTAAGCGTAGAATCCTTGCTTATGGAGCCCATGAAATACATTCTGTGCTCACAGTACCTCATAACCGCCAAATTATTCAGTAAGCAGCACCATGAAATTGGGCCCATATCTGTGGCTAAGAATTTCCTGGAAAGAGTTCGGGACCCCTTATGTCCCTTAGATAATAGGTCCCATTCATGGGACAAACATTCATGGTATATTCTGGACAGCAGGATACAAGGAGACTAAACTAACAAGTAAGATACTTACCAAGGTTTTCAGAATAACTTGGGTGTAGTGACCCCAGTGCTGCTCTCCTGTATGACTCAACCCCTTACGAAGAGCAAGTTTGAAATGGTGGGCTGTAAATAAATCCTAGTTACAGATATCAGGAAAGAGAACACATGATTGTAACTGGACACAAAGCTAGAGTGGTTTTGATGTACACTCCTACATGTATGTTACCTTGAAGAAGCAGATTTCCTTAGAATTGGTCAATCATGGCAACAGAATGTGCTCATATCAGAGTAAATACTACACTCAGTGCATTGTACTGTTCCACAAGCAAGTACATGAATATTCCATCCTTTACATGAAGTGTTTTGAACTGCGCAATCCATAGTGAATTCAAAATTAGAAATGGGGTGGGAGTAAATACAAAACTTGGACTACTGCTTTTGTAGTCCCTCCCGGGACTAAATACATCCTATCACCACACAATTTTTCAAATCATATGCTTTTGAATGGTCATTACTAGTTGCTCTCTGCTAATAATCCAAACTTCAAGACCCCAAAATTTCAAAACCAGACTTATCATTCAAAGTTACACGAACCTGTATTTTTAAATTACGCATATCCCAATTATGTACAGGTAATGAAGTGCTCATTTCTCACATTATAAATTGTCATGGGACAAATGAGAATTGAAGTTAAAATGTCATTTTCATTATCTTTCTACAAGGATGTGCTTTTTGTATTTAGATTCACATCAAGCACAAACCAGTACATGATTTATCACAACAGCTTGTGCAATGGCAGGTCTCAATATCAGAGTAATACACTCCAGATCACTTGTGGCACTTACCTCCTTCTTAATCTCTTGTTCCTCAAAATCCCCTGGTAGATGATGCCATCGCACAGTTCCATTCCGCCCAGAAAGAGCAAAGGTAGAAAAATGGTTGACAACAGGTCCAGTTTCCTACAGGTTTTCAGGTCAAAATGCATCTTTAATGGCACTACTATCAGTTTGTAGAAGACTTGCTCTGTTCAAGCTGGAGGTGTTTTCCCCACTTTCCCTAGGCTTAGTTTTTGTTCTTAGTCAGATGTCCAAGTACAGCTGAAGAAACGTCTTTATGACCCCAAAACAACAACGCCAAGAATCTAAAGAGATGTGAATTTGAAGTCACAAAATGTTTACTGGAGTTGCAAAGCATTTTACTTCAACAAAATCATAGCATATTTGATCTGACCAAGAGAAGACGATATTCTATGAGCAATGGAGGCTCCTTTGATGGGAACTGCACTTTGCTGTTTCACAAACGACTACAAATGCATGTATTACGGGTCCGTATTACGGGTCGTATTACCAGTCAAATGAGCACTCCCAACCAATATGGCTCTTTTCAATCAATGAGGGGGTGCTTCTGCTCAAGGCAGATACAGCTGGGAGGATGGGGCAGAATCCACTACCCTTGACATATTTTCTGATATGTCACAGTGAGTCAGTAGGGTTCAAACTCTGCAGATGTAAATGTACTCAATTTGCTGTCTGTATTAAGATTGAGTCTGTCAGCGCATGGCCCCACCCTTGCTGTGAGATGGCAAATGAAACAAGATCTTTGGGGGTTTAGTTCAAATATCCTCATCACCTTGTCTTCTTCATCATCTTCTAGCTTTTCTGCCCATTCTTCGTCATCTTTATGGGCATGGCTTTTTCTCGGTCCGTGATCATGCCTGTAAGCCAATGAAGAAGGAACAATCCTATTGGGGATGGTTCCTTTGCACTCTACGCCATATCTCAGAGAGCTTTGTAGTCTGGTACTTTTCTCTGGACCAAACAATTTGTGGCTAGAACTGTAGTCTTTGCCACTGGTATACAAAAAAAAAACAGCTATAGCCATAGACCTATGGCATTCTGAACATAGTCTGGTATCAATGGAAGCACTTTAATGGGCAGACGTGCAAAAGTAACTTGCATGTGACAGACAACCCATAGTTGAGCTTTTAGATGTGATCTCTCACATCACACAATTCCCGTCTGAAGTCACCTCTTTCTTAATGCTAAGATGAAGAAAAATAATTTTGTATGCTAATGTTATCCAGCACACTTATAATCTAGTAAGTCAAGTAAATCTAGTAAGAGCACTAACTCACTGTGCAAAGTGAAGCCTGCAGGATGTATCAATATTTGTGCATACATGTACGTCTCTGGAAAACTTCAAATTTTGTAAGGCTTTTGTACTGCTATTTGCAAATCTGCATTTGAATTCTACAACGATGCATCATCAAAGCCAATGCACCAAAACCAAATATGGGTGCGGTGTTTTGCTCTGTGTAAAAAATGTAAACTATGCAAATAAAAGACTGACTTTGCTGAGGTCATGTGTCATACTACTGATAGAAAAAAGAGCATGCACCATATGTGTACGTACACGTTATTAGTTTATTCACACATACTGTGCTTGCATGTATATTGCATTTAGAATACAATACACATTAGGAATTTGTTCCATCTTATTTCACGATGTTCAACAAACATGTACTAGTCTTTCATTTTCAGAAAATCCAGGAGAGCTCTCCTCAAATCACCTAGGAGAGCAAATCGCTCCCCTTAAAATACGAGTTAAACGATTAACACAAAAACTAAAAAAGGTCAAACAACTGTTTATACCTTAGGGGTCTGTTGTTTTCACTGATGGTTTCTGATGCTCTTGTGGCTTTTTAAAATTAATTTAGTTTATTTAGTTCTGTTAGAAACATGGAATTATGACACATAAATCATCTCAGTGCATATTTCCTTTTTAGTTGAACCAGAATTTTCATATTTGTAAATTGAAAAATACAGTTATGTCAAACCAACACGAACGTGCAAACATGATAATATTTATGCACATGATTATGGTCCAACAGGCTGGGGATTTCCTATGGGAATTCAATCAGCACACTTGCTACACGTACATGCACCGGAATGCACGGAGCAAGGTTTACATGATGACCAAAAGCTCACGGTACATAGCTTTCTGCTTAAGTGGCCCGTGAAGAAGATTAACACTGATTGGTTCTCGTCACTGAAACTTTTTGTAAAAAAGACATAACAGATTGTACCACATACAGTGAAACTGGTTCTTGCTGCATGCGAGTCCAGGGCACGAAGTACTCCATGTAGTGTAGGTAGCACAGTGACTTGGAGTTCTTTAAGTGCGTCATACACATGTATGCTTGTACAGTAAAAGTACATGTACAGAACATGTCGGGCCAGCTAGCCAGTCTGGATGCAGGCCGTTTGCAATCACATTGTATTCATGCAATCATTGAGCATATTAAATTTGTGGAATAAATGTGAAATTGTAAATTATTACAAACAAATCACACAGTCCTTTTTTAGTATCCACAGTTTTTGTCATATAGTTCATTATTTGTAAAGTGCTCTTAGATTTGTTTTTAAGAAGCACGATAGTTTACACTCATTTAGGACTGTTGAGGCCCGCAGTAGAAGTGCCTACACAATCGCTCTCCTTAGACATGGCGCATAGCAAGTTTCTCTGCACAGCGAAATGAAGAGTTAGTATGCTAGCAAGTTAGCACAGGGCATTGTGATGGTCTTTTTTTGCCCCAGCAGTAGGACCTTCGTTACCTTCATGTGATCGCAGCAATCATCAGTCTATATTGAATAGTGGATGGAGGGATATCATTTCGTTTTTTTTCATCCTTGCACTATGTCCAATTCACGGTGACTGACATTTTTCACTGCCTTGTTTCTCTTATAGTCAGTGAACATGTCAATCATCACTTGCTAAGGCCAAAACGTCAGTGACACACCCCTTGACCTTTTGCTCAGAGTATGCTTGTCAATTTGTTTCTTTCACTATGACCATTTATTACATGCCGGCTTCTCCAGAGCAAATCAGAACAAGCTCTGTAAATGAGCTACATGTACATCTCCATGCTTGTTTTACCACATACAGAGCATTCCTACATTGCACGGTGACATTCCATTTTGACATGAAGCATTCTAACTCACTGAAGGCTAGCATCTTGGTGATATCTGTCCTGCAGACTGGCTCCAACAATAACAAGTCCTCCATCATCTGGCTTGATGTTGTGACTGACTACAACAAGTGAAATCTCTCTGTCAATTAAAAGGTACCCAAAGTCAATTAGACTTTTCATGTGAGCATACACACTGTACATGATCATGACTCGGATGACTCCCCATAAACCTCAGAAAACAAATGACAGAAGGCCGCACACTTTCAAAATTCATTGCAGTGTGCAGGTACATGTATTTCTAATATGCAATGAGTAACACTCTACTTTTGGCATGCAGCATTCATGTGAGGTTTTACTGAGTTGGTTCAGGCAATGTACGACATTTCTAAGAAGGCAGTTTTCAGGCTATAAATCTACATTTTTCCTGCACAGTGTACATCTGAAATAAAGCATACAAATTTGAAATCTGGCACTTTGGTGGTACAAACTTTTGAGTGAACTTCTATGCACTTCAGCACAACTGCCCATGTATGCAGTCCAGTATGCAAGCTAACCAGTCTACATTCTTGTCAATACACAACGGACAACACAGGTTTGGTGCATACTCAATCTGCCAATTTTTTACCTTTGCAGTATGATGATCAAAATAAAAGTTCACTTGATTTCAAAGCACTAGGCCTGGCACGTACAGAAGCAAAGTGTATTAGCAGGAATCTAGTTGTAGGGTCAATCTGGTTGTACGGTCAAGACTGATGGTCAAAGTCTATTAGCAGGAATCTAGCTGTAGGGTCAATCTGGTTGTA